CTGCAGGCCTGCCTATCCTTTCTTCTGTCTTGCTATTGGCCATTCAGTTATTTAGTAGACCAATCAGGTATTTAGACAGAAAAAGTAACACAACTTCACAGATTTCAACAAATGCAACAAATAAGAATTAAAAACATCCTTGCATCTTTCAACAAATGTTACACAGCATAAACAAGTGTAATACCTCCTAAATTAATATTCCATTACAACACTGAGTCTCAGCATTATGGATGTAGTCTCTGGCATCTAGATGTTCAAGAAAGCTCCCAGGAGTGTAAGACATGCTAATATGGGATGAAAAGTTCAGTGATGGCATCTCACCTATTTCACCATCTATTAATTGGACTCAGGGTAAAGAGAAGACTCTGGTCTTCTCTTGTACCAGTATCATTCAAACATGTTACAAAGGAACAGTCTAATCATAGTGTTATAAAAGTAAAATTTATAGAAAAACCAATTTGAAGGCTTTGAACAAAACAGTGATGCATGTCTTTATTATTGTGACCTTCCAAAGCCACCTAATGTTATCCTTCTGATAACCTTATTCTCTTCATTTTGACTACTAGGCACTGAGTAATCACATGTTTAAATCCATGAGGTATGAAGATACAAGTAACAGATAAAAAGTGTTGTCCTTGTCAAAATGCAAATATTGCACACTGAGTTAGAAGCAAAATCTTGGAGAATCTGACCGCCAACAAACCAGGGTAGATTCCCACGGTATTAAACTTTTTATACTGAATGACTTTTTCTGATAGAAATCTAAAATGTAGGAAATTGCCAATCTCTAAAATTAAAGTATCTGTGCAACTATGTATATGTCATTGATTTATCTCTGTGAATCACAGGTATTTATTACCATAGCAACACAGAGACCAACAATACAGTGAAGGACACTGGGCAGAGATATTGTTAGTGTTGATAATGTCAGATAAATGGATCTCAGCATAGCTCTGTTTCTCTACATCAGGGACATTGCAGATGCAGTTGGTGTCAAACCTCCTCCTGTGGGAAGATGTGGCTTTTGTACTGACAATTGACAAGTGGATATGGCTTCGGTGATATGTTCACCGAAGATGTTTTTGATGATGCCATCATACTGTCTCAGCATATCAATGGCCTTGCTATAGCAACACACAGGATATTTGTAAGTACCTCAGTGTTTCAGGCATCTTTCAACCATGAATGTTCATGTGCATTGTAGTTTAACAGAAACCATCATAAATCAAATCTCAGGTAATGTCCCTTCACATACCAAAGAAAGTGTTACCCTCCAGAAAGTAGAAACAGGTCGATGGGAGAATCATGATTTCTTAAAGATTCACAACAAATGACTTAACTAAAGGAAAAATGCTTCACTTACACAGAATTTTTCACAGAATTCAGGAAAGTATAGCAACAGTAGTAGAGCTCTGCTTTCCTGATCTGGCTTGCAGGATGCAGCATGTCATCTGGCATCTTCACTAAAGTACTGTGGCTATTTAATGAAGAAGGGTACAGTGAAACAAACAGCACTAAATTAAACTGCAACAGATTCAATATAGAAAGAAAATATCATACATTTTTCATAAACACTTAAGTGTTTGGAAACTTTGTTTAAACATTCCTAACACATGTTAGTACCCATAGATAATGCTTAGACAATAGGAAGGCTGGACAAACAATTTTTCTCCTCTTGATAATTACATGTTTTGTGGTCAAAATCAATTAAGATCAAGGAGGGGAAAAGAGATAAGGCTTGCCCACACTGGGCATCCCATAAGATGAGTCTGGATATGTACATTAAGTATTAACTTGTGTTGGTTTTTATTTGCCAGTTTTTCTTTTGTTCCCCTTGACTGATTCCGGCTGTCCAATGCCTCTACTTCAGACATGTTTGTTAAATTTATAAGTACCTTCCTTACTCTCAGCTTCTTTCTAAAGGAGTCTTTGTGCCAATGATTGCAGCACACTGCAACTTAGATGAGAAAGCATCATGAGCCAAATTCCCAACAGCACAATTACCTCTGCAGGTAAAGGAAACATCAACTAAGAATCATGCAGTAGAGGAAGTCAGCTCTGGGAATCACAGATGAATGCAGAGACATCTCAAGGTTTTCTCTTAATTGATTTTACTAAATATGTTCGTACAAATCTAAACATACTTTGACATAAAGTTATAGAAGTTGTTGTAGGGGGAAAACTGCAGTCTTGATTTTGTTGGTGGGGAACCAGTTCTTTTGGCATTCTTATTGAACATGTGGCAGATATCTAGTAGATGACATATCTATTGCATTTAGTTGAATGGAAAGCCACAGATGGAACAGAGCTAACCTACACTGAAACTGTGTCAGGTATTGGAGGGACAAAATTGTAGCTTTCAGCTACTCCCAAATGCTAGGAATTGGTGTATAAGATTCCCTTTACTTGACCTTGTTCAATAGGGGAACAGGTTTAGAAGTGAGAATAGCTTCTCTCTGCTGGATGGCTGTATGTTATCACTTCTAGGTAAGTCAGTGTGAAAGTCGAGAAGATAAGAAAGACCTCACTCTAATTAGGTGCAAACATAAAATGTGTTCCTGGGTTTCAAATAAATTTATACTCATGTTATACTTTTGCTCACATGTTTCTTTTCATTCCCTATTTTAAATTGACAATCATTTAAATTCCTAATCTTTTTAGTGATCCATTAAAGTTTCACAAAATATTTGACTATTAATTTTAAATAAAAGATATTTTAACTAATAGAGTTACACAAATATGATGTTTAAAGAGTTATAAATTTAGGAATGAATGCATATTAATTAATATTTTGTATTTTTAAATTCTTCGTTGTTTGTTCATTTTTATTTATTTAAATTTTTAATATTTTATTTATTTATTATGTATACAAAATTCTGCTTTCATTTATATCTGTACATTAGAAGAGGGCACCAGATCTCATAACGGATGGTTGTGAGCCACCATGTGGCTCCTGGGAATTGAACTCAGGACCTCTGGAAGAGCAGTCAGTACTCTTAACCTCTGAGCCATCTCTCCAGCTCCATTTGTTCATTTTTAAATGCCTAAATTGGATAATTAATTTTGTCATAGGCAATTTAATTCCTCTGATGATTTATGATTTTTTTAATGTACATATGTTCAGTGTTACTAGAAAAAAAGAGTCTAATTTTGCAATACCTATTAAAGGAAACACATCAGTATTTTACCACTGGAAACATAAACTTTAAATATAGATACATGTATGCTATGACTTTGCTTCAAATCTTAGAAGAAGGTGATCTTTAAAATCTTATTTGTTCTTTTAAAGATTTCGCTTCAAATCAGTAATTTTTGTACGGGTGAAAAGACAAAATAATACGTAGTAAGATAGGAAATGGTTCACAACTAAAAACATAGATGAAAAACAAAATGAGACTATAAAACTTGAGAAAAAGAGTAGGTAACAACTATGTTCCCCCTAATTTCTGAGTTTTTGCAATCATTAAAAAATCATTAAAAAATAGATACCTATTAAATGCATCCATATTCTGGCCATGGATTCTTTTGAAAAATTATTAATTCCAACAACCTAGATACATAATTATTTTATCTTCTACAGATGTTACAATTTAACAGACAGAAAAGAATCTGACACCAAGAGATGCAAAAGCTGCCATGCTTTTTCCCTAAAATCACCAGAAAGAGGAAGCCAAAATGATCTTAGTGTGTCTTCAACTTGTGCTTTTATCCTAAACAACTAAAGCAGTATACAGGACAGGCTTTTCCATTCTGTAGATTATTGTAAGCATTGTAACTGATGTGGTACTCATTCCTTCAAGAAAGTCAAAAAGACTGAACAATAAAAAACCATCTTTTTTTAGTTGATGAAAAATAAAAATAAAAATAAATGCTTAACATAATTACATAGCATAGCTATGTATTTAGAAGGCAAGGCATTGGCAATGTTCTACTACCCAGTTTACTTATCATTCTGCTGTAAACTTTGACAACATATATATACATATATATACAATATATATACAACAATATATATAACAATATAATATATTATATATATTACAACATATATATATGTTGTAAATACATGTGTATATATTTACATATATATATATATATGAGATGAAAATACAGTTACAGTTATTATGTATTAATAGTAGACCCAGAAAATACTATATAATATCCCTCAAGATGAAATTATCTCCTTAAAGTGAAAAGAAGATCAACTTAAATTTGTAATTGTCATATATTCTGTCTGATTCCCTGCAATAACCTAGCTTGGAATGATTTCATTTGAACATCATATCAAAGGAATATTGATTGAGAAGTGAAGAGGAGGAGGAGACGGAATTTGTGAACATTCTATACCATCAGACACCTCACAGGCTACTGTATACACTCCAGTTTCCTTACAAAAACATTATTACATTAGCTAAGTAAAGTAAATTAAAGATTTGTTAGGTTACTATTGAACTTTTACCATAAACAGGAACAGTAAGAATTGGAATCTTCACTTCTTCTAACTGAAGCACTCACTATTAGGTATATGCCACAGAGCTCCCAGGATCTATCAACATTTGCTATGTTCCTTCCCTTCATGTCTTTTTACATTTTCCTTTAAAAGTCCATTGGATTCCTTCTGTCATTTTTATTGCTCTTATCATTGAAATACCTAGCAGATAGCAGACACAGCAAGTATTTTAAATCAAAGATGAGCTTCCTATATGATCCTGGTGTTGATTACTTCCAGGGAGGTCAAACTACTGTGAGATTCCCACTGATGGTGGCAAAGAAGGCAACACTGTGCCTTTGTTCTTCACTGGCTACACTAAATGATGAGCTACTCTATTTGAGGCAAGGCAGGGAGGTAAGTAGACTGAGGATAGCTCATTTATGAATGCTTTGTTTTCTTTATTAAATCTTTGATTTTATATCCCAAAATAATCTAAGAGCAAATTAACAAAATTAGCAAATGAGCAAAATTGTAAACAATATAACTGGTGGGATGAATCCAAGTCAAAATGGTTGCACCATTTGGCTTTACCATTGGTAAGGTTTGTCTTTCTGAATCAGGTCCTGTTGGCACCTAATGAATACCAGCAAATATTCTCATTCTCATGAACAAGCAACACAATCATATAGTAGACAATATAGTCCAGGAAATTCAAATGGTATAATTTCAGAAGGAAAATACAGTAAAAGCAATCTGATTCTTCACTAAAAAGTTGTTACTATTTAACATAGTACATCATTTAACAAAATGTAAGACAATGATTAAAATTTAACAACTCTGCCTAAAATTTAATCTATAGAAATATTCTAAAACCCAGTAAGAATAACAAATGAATATTTTAGCTCTTCTTCACTGATAAAAATCAAATATAATACATGTTAGTCTTACCTTAATTTGATCTCACTTACTGTTGCATAGTTGCCACGCTATCTGAAAATGATACCAAGTATACTTCGTGCCTGGAAGGACCCTCTGTATTCCTTGGTGATGGAACCCAAGAACATGTGAGGAGGCCCTTTTGCTATCCTTTCAAGTGTCAACAATACTGAGGTAAAAATCAAAATCCCACTGGAACACAACATGAGGATCGCCAGGAAGATGAGAAGTATTATTACTTTCTACTTCTTTCCTTCATGAATGATGTAGAATCTGTGGTGAATGTTACATTTTTAAAGAACTCAGTGTGCAAGGGCAAAATGCATGCATTAAGGGATGTAGCTGTTCTTCACAGTCATAGGGACAGTACCTTTCCTGGGAAAGTGAACTATCCGCACATATCTCATTGCTAGCATTCATGGTCTCTGTGAGTCTTAGGTGAGAAAACTGTTAACAGCCACCCCATCATGCCTCTTTTTAACATGAGTCTGTGGTCAAGAGTCAATATCATGATCCTCTACTTGACTTGCCACAAAATAATATACTTTGCCTAGACTGAGTTTACTCAAAGAAAATGTATGCTTGTATCTTGTGTCTAGTCTTTAGGTGATTAGGGGATTTATATTACCTGGGCTTGAGCACATGGAAATTCATGACTCTAGCTGAAGTTTCTATTGCTGACATTTATATCAACACAACTCAACACTTAAAAGGAATAAGAACAGTCAAATATAAACAATGATAACTATCACTTTTGTCATTAGGTTAAACATGGAATTGAAGGAGATGAAGTGTACATGGTCAGAGCTTCTATCATTACAGTAGCCAATAAAGAATTCCGGTTTTCTGATGTTTATAAACCTTCTTACTGGCTATTTGTTGACACACATAAGGTTAGCCATTATCTCCGGCACTTGAGGTATCAGTATTTTGGTGGTTACATGTGCCAAGACTCAGAATACCAAGATAGTCTTAAGTGATTGATTTCTTTTAAGCTTCTTTTAATTTTCTATCTTGTGATGCTCCCCATTTGTGTAACACAATCCTTCATAAGAAGATAAAAAGAAAGCTTTAGATATTTTAAAGTATAACAAGGCAATTTTCAGTGTCTTGGTTCATTTAGTGGTCAGTGCATTAGCAGTGTGGACATTCTACTAACACACAAAAAAGAGATGCTTAATTGGCAAGAGGTCAATGGAAAAGGAATGAGCACAGTATACAGTGATCACTGACTCATCCCGATTTGTTTTGTTTTGTTTTTCAAGACAGGGGCTCCCTTTTTACTTTCAGAGCCTGTCCTGGAACTCACTCTGTAGACCAGTCTGGCCTTGAACTCACAGAAATCTGCTTGTCTCTGCCTTTCGAGTGCTGGGATTAAAGCCTTTCTCCTCCACCACCCAGCACATCCCCAATTTCAATAATATTACTCTGAGTTTCTTTTTTCCATTTAGGATGATGTTGGTTGTTGGTTTCTTAGGACTTTAACTGTTGATTCATGTTGAATTTACAAAAGGAGTTTTCTGTACCTATTAATATGATCATGTGCTTTTGTATATGATTCCATTTCTATGATTTGTTAGATTAATTGACAAAGTTTATCGAACTATACCTGTATCTCTGAGATAAAGACAGATTGGGGTAGATTCTGTTTTTAATATATGTGTTTAATCTGCAAGCAATTAACAGAGTATCTTGTATTTATGTTCATCAGAGATATTGGCTTCTCTCTTGCTTTCTCTCTCCCTCCCTCTCTCACTCCCTCTCCTCCCCTACCTACTATTTTTTTAAAACTTGGTTTTAGAGTTATAGCAAGAAAGAGTTTGGAAGTGATTCTTCTGTTTGTGACATTTTTTCCTTTCATTTTCTGAGATTAAAACAAATTACAGCATTTCCCCCTTCCTATTCCTACCTCCAAATTTTCATCACCTAAAAAAGACCTAACTAATGACAACAAGATTTGACAGGTTAGCATGAATAGGCAAAACCTCACTAGATCCCCAACCACTTATATGAAAAGCTACAGATAATTAATGACTACTAGGACATGAAGAATAAGTTTTTCTCTGGAATGAAATACTAAATGGTTGTCTAATGTATAGAAAGTGATTAGTATCCTTCTTTCTTTTCTTCCTGATTTCAGTGTTAATGTCCCAGATGTCTCAAGCTCCTACCACTATGCCTTCCAAACTTTAAAAGATTATAACAGGAATCCTTGTCTTAGCCAAGAATCCTTTGATTTTGTCAAATATTTTATTACAACAAAGAATAAAATATGTAATATAGGATGCATTTATGAAAAACTGTAAGATTATTAAATAAACATTTGTCATTAAAAAGTACAATAAAGTTAATGAGAATATGGAATAAGAAATACTTTAAGGAAGCCAGCCATTCTTAGAATCCAACTTTGACAGTGAAATTATAGAAAAGCACAGTCAAAGAAAAAAGAGTCACCATGCACCTTGACTCTAAGTAACTGGTAAGGCTGTTTTTAGTAGAACATGTTATGTTATGAGCATAAGATGTCACTGTGTCTCTCTCCTAAACATTTCAATCATGTTTCAGTGAGTCTCATCTCCTCAGCATCTTTTCATTGCATTTCTTGTTTCTCTCAGAGTGGGAACACACTTGTTAGAATCAATATGACAACTGATGGTGACATTACAGAGACCTTGAAACTCAATTTTAATGGATTTGTTGATTCCTTATTCATTTGCCAAGTCAACTGAAATTCATGGCTATACCAAAATCCTTGGTGACCAAAGCCAATAGTGACAAAATGAGGACATAGATTACTGAACATAAAAAGTATATGCCTTGCCCAAGGGGTAAGTGATTGCCTCTACCATAGAGAGTACTCTGTGTATAATTCTCCCATGGAGATAGGAATGCTGAAGGTAGATGTGTAGCAGGGTTGCATGCTATACATCACAGTTAGAATGTTTTGGGTGAGGCTGTAAACTGCATGTTTAACTTGTGTTATTGACAAAGGGGGAAAAGTCTGTGGGGAAAGAGATTATTCACCTAGACCTGGTTCCTTCCCTAAATCACTTTTGACAGATAGACAACTCAGAGCATAGGGGCTAAAGGAAAGAAAAGAAAAGAAAAGAAAAGAAAAGAAAAGAAAAACTGTCAAAAGGTGGAAGACATCTGGAGGAACATTAGGTTTGGCAGGTCTGAATGGGCTCTGCTCCTTCTTTGACACTTAGCCAGATGCCAACTCTTCCTACTCATATGTCGAATTCCCAGGTGGAGCACCATAAACAGTTCATGGAGCTGCATGTAGTTATAATAGCCTTGGAAAGGAATTGGTGATGTCATGAATGCTACTCTGCACAACCTTGTGCTTTGGAAGGAACAACTGATACATGTTTAAGGCTTCTTCATGATATGTAACACCTTTGCCAAGATGTGGGGATTAATGTCCATTAGATCCAGATATCAGAAGTGAATTTATGGTTTCTTGAAGCAGGTAACAGTAGATCTACAGAAATACTGAATCACTGCAAAGTTTCCATACATCAATCCAACCTCTACATACCTCACTCATCTGGAAGGATACTAAAGACAACTATTAAATAATGTTTAAGAGAGTTCATACATGAAGGGAAATGTACCTGTGAGAGCCCTATGTTTATCCAATAAATTCCAGATTTGAGAAGGAGATACTTCCTTAAGATTTATTGGAAAAGTATGCTTTTGTGATCACTCACAATATTTATGGTGCTGCATCTATAGTTAGATGTACACAGAAACTAACTGGTGGGCCTCAGTACTGAAGACAGTCATAAAAGTTAGGCTAGGGTTGAGGTGGAAGCATCATCTGTGTTGACTGACTTTCAGAGTCTGGAAGGTGCTGCAGAGTTGGAGAATTGTCAATGATGATACTATGGCCCAAGTATTAATTCAACTAGTAAGTATAGCAGCTTATAGTCACTCAAGGAACAGTTATAGAATTATTTTTGGTGCAATGAACAAACTTCTGATAATGTTTAAGTATAATTCCAAAGAAAAAATCCATTCACAGTGCTGATATTCAAAACTATAGCTTATTGGGAATATAAGAATGAAAGTATCATATTTATACAAGTATAACAGAGACAGAAGTTATTGTTTTTTATTTACTGTATTTCATATATATTTTTCTCTTGAAAAGGCTTAAAGAATATTTCTGTTCTGAGGTCTCAGTATACAATGGGAGCATATTTGTACAATTTTTGTGAGTATAGTATAGGCCAAACAATATTGCTAACAGAAAGGGAGGTTTCTGAAGAATCTCCTTTGTAGGTAATATTGGCCAGAAAATTGCATAACAGTAATGAAATTAATGTAAGGAAAAATAATATGAAGGAACTACTATTTTAACTTATCTTAGAATGTAAAACACTTTAGATAATAAGGCAATTCATCCATATAAATATATGTTTCATGTAATCAATTCTTAATAACATTATATTATAAAAGCACTACATTTATAAAAATATTATTTCATAATAATAATTTTTCTCATATCAACTTAGTTTTTCAGCTAAGAAGTTGCTTGCTTGCATTTAATACTCTAGGACCTTTGCAATACTTTGAGCATTTGACTGTAAGCATTTTACCAGGTATGACCCTTAGCATTACTTTAGTTCCAGGCTGGAGTCTTCAAAAAAATTTAGGAAAAGGCTCATATTACATAAGAAACACCATTTTTCCTTTAAATTTCAGAATTGTTTTAGTGATAGCATCATTGAATTTATAAAGTAATTTTTCATTTGGTATGCACATGTGCTTTTATACCATTGAGTATATAAATTATTGACATGTTAGAAGTCAGCCTCTACTTATCTGTTAAAGCATTAAATTGAGGATAAAAACAACACTGTTCATTGTCAAACATCTTAAAGATGTGTGTTTTACAGCACAAGGGAAGTAGATAAAATCAAGCTTCCTGTGTCTCCCATTATACATAATTCCAGGCAAATTTTGTTCTTTTCTGCTTACACTGGGCATTGGGACTATAAAAGTTATGTTCTATTCAGGTACACAAGGGATGCCCCCAGGAGTGTAAGATGTAGCAAGATGGGTGTCCTGTCCAAGTGTGTGGGCATTTTGCATCCCCCACTGGGTAATAACAGGACTTAGAGCAAATCATTTACCCATATGTACCCTCCCTTTCAGCAGTACAATTTGAGGACAGTTACAAAGGCACAATCTACTCCCAGGGTAATTGTTAAGCTCAATTTTAAAGAAATAGACCCAATGCTTTTGATAAAATGACAAATACATGGGATTTTTATCTTTAGGTAGAAAACTCAGCCTATGGGATCATTTTGATGACAGATTCTCCTCATGCTGAATATTAGTAGCCATCAGTCAGGCGTTCCTCAAATCAAACATAAAGCAAAGAGATGAACTCTGATGTTCTTGTCATAGCAGTGTTCAAAATGCAACTCTTGAAATACTCAGCTAAATCATTATAAACCTTTGCAGCATCTGGGAATGGAAAATCATTATAAACTCTCCAGACATGAGGCCATCTGCAGAGAGTGCTCAAAATTAACCTAGGTTCCAGGTGTCTATAATGTTCACACACATCCAGGGAATAATAAAAAGTGAGGGAATTTGCCTAATTCTTGCAACTACATAGCAAAGCAAATATAATTATTCACCTAAATTTTCACAGTGGAGGATCTTTCTTCACCACAGTAGCTTAACTGGAGCAATTCATACAGTCAAGGACACATTGCTGACCCCCACTCTCACCCCAAGAGGATAATTCTTGAAAACTCAGATAAATGAATCATCCCTCAGTGGCTCCTGCTTCTATTTAGCAGGGGCACCTGCTGATCCTGTTGTCAAGCCTGATCCTCTGCAAGAATGTGGCCTCTGTTCTGAGTGATAAAATGAA